TTAATCTACTAGAGAAGGAGGAAAGGTCTTTTCTCCCATTGCATTTCTACCCCCAAACTCATATTTCTTTTATCCCATGGTCTCTTTAGTTTTCCAAGATAAACTTGGAAAAAATGCAGAAAAGTGAGAAAAAGACAACAATATTAAAAAACAAACAGTAAAAAGTCAAAAAAAAAAAAAAGGAAAAAAGGTGATCAAATAAGGGATTTCTGATCTTCTACAGCAGTTACAAATCAACTTATTATCCCAAGAGAACAAAATATACGTAGCTTCTGGTTCAACTCAAGTGCGTGGCTCTCTCCCAGCTGGAAGGAAACCACCAAGTTCAGAAACCACCAAAAACTCCACAAATTTATTCTCTCTCCTCCTTTAATATTAGAATAGGATAGGATAGGATAGAAAATAGAATAGAATAGAATAGAACAGAACAGAAAATAGAATAGAGAATAGAATAGAATAGAATAGAACAGAACAGAACAGAACAGAACAGAACAGAACAGAAAATAGAATAGAGAATAGAATAGAATAGAATAGAATAGAATAGAATAGAATAGAATAGAATAGAATAGAGCAGGAGCTGGAAGGGACCTTGGAAGTCTTCTAGTTTAGGAGGACCTAAACCATCTCAGATGAGTGACTGTCCAGTCTCTTCTTAAAAACCTCCAGTGATGGAACACCCACAGCTTCTGGTGGCAAGCTGTTCCACTGGTTAATTGTCCTCACTGTTAGTTCTTTCCTTAATTCCAGGTTGCTTCTCTCCTTGATGGGTTTTCATCCATTTCCTTCCTTCCTTCCTTCCTTCCTTCCTTCCTTCCTTCCTTCCTTCCTTCCTTCCTTCCTTCCTTCCTTCCTTCCTTTCTTCCTTCCTCATAGAATCCTAAGCAAGCAAGCGATCCTATACCAATTCAGATATCGGCCAAGTGTGATTGGACACACAAGGAATTTGTCTTTGGAGCATACGCTCTCAGTGTACATAACAAAAAATTCATCACGAATCGTAAGATACAACACTCAGTGACAGTCATAGGTTACGTGAGAATATGCCACATTCAAGCCATTTTTCATCCAGACATCCCTTTTGCCTCTTTTTCAGCAAAAAGTCCAAAACGGAGGTCCATTCTTTTACAAAAGGAACTTACCGTTTTATCCCCGATTCAAACAGGTCGGTTCCGCAATCTTTATTATCCAATTTTCACTATTCACTCCAATTTTCAGTATTTCTCCATCCGGGTGTGTAATTATTTTGTTGCAAAGGTATAGTGAGGTTAAAACCAGGTGGGAGAGACACTTACCGGGTTATAAGCGGGCATGTAGCCAGGTGCTGGGAAGTAAGTCATGCTGATCCTGTTCCAAGCTGCTGGTCCAGATCAATGCCCAAGTGAGAAGCGAAGCAACCTTATTGCTTTTATAAAACGAGGAAGAAAGGGTGGAGCACAGAGAAGGTGGCACCAGCCCACCTGTTATCAGCGTTCCAACTAGTCAACTCCAAACCAATAAACTCCAAGACAAGCATTACCTCCAAGTTCCGTTTTATTAGAGTTCTCCTATGGGCACACCTGGGAAAACCCGAATTCCCTTCCCCAAAAGACAATCAAAGATCCATCCCCTGCACCCAGGGGTGGTTCTGCTGGGCGTTCGCAGGGGTTCGGGAGAGACCCTCGCTAAGATTCTGTGTCGTTCGGAGGACCGCAAATCCCACTCCTGGCTGGCTTCCCCCACCTCACCCCCCTCCCCTCCCAGTAGTCCCCACACGGCCCATTTTGGATGCAGGAAAGTGCAAGGCACACGCAGACGATCAGGGAGGGTGAAAAACGGGCCTCCTGGGAGTTCGGGAAGGCTGGAAATGGGCCCATTTCCGGCTTCCAGAGAGCTCCAGAGCCCGGGGAGGCCATTTTCACCCTCCTGGAGGATCGAGGGAAGCCTCCAGAGCCCAGTTTTCCCACCAACTCTGAGGCAACCAAGGGCTTTTTATTTAGGCTCCAACAACGTTCACATCACTTGCATTTCTTCCTGAAAGTCTATGGAGATTCTCCGTCCTCCAGATCATGGCTGTCCCCAAAGTGCTTTTTCAGGAGGCAACTGGACTTTTTTTTTCTTTTGAAGGGACACGGGGCAGAAAACATCCTGCAGCCAAGAAGGCTCCACACCCCTTTGCACTGTTCAGGTGACCCTGAGGACACAGATAAACCTCCAAGTGGCCTCAACAGGCCCCTAAAAAGGATGCAAATGACCAGCTCTATCTGCAAGGAATACAAATCCTTCCATTCCCCACCATCCAGTCAGAGCTGAAGAAGCTTCCTGGATGAGAAGCAAAACCTCTTCAAGGAAAAAAACCAGAAAGTCCAGTTGCCTCCCAAAAAAGCACCCTTTGGGACAACCATGATCTGGAGGACTGAGAATCTTTACGGACTTTTAGCTATACAATTTGGGATGAAGACCCTTCGAAGGGTGTGGGAGTAGGAATGGATTTCCAAAGGAAAAAGTGGCAGATTACAGAAACCATTTGCACTACTCAGGTGATGCTGAGGACACAGATAAACCTCCAAGTGGCCTCAACGGCCTTCTAAAAAGGAGGCAAATGACCAGCTCTATCTGCAAGGAATACAAATCCTTCCATTCCCCACCATCCAGTCAGAGCTGAAGAAGCTTCCTGGATGAAAAGCGAAATGTCTTCAAAAAGAAAAGAATAAAAAAACTCCAGTTGCCTCCTGAAAAACAGGAGGGGGACAACCATGACCGAGAATCTCTGCGCGCCTTTGGGACATTTCTTCTTGAACCTGACCAGGAAACAGCCATTTATTGGGGCGGCACCGAAAGGGAAGACGTGCCCTGCAAACATTTTGAGCCCTGCCCAGTTGATGCCCCATAAAAACTCTTTAACTAGGGCATCGGTTAGGGTTAACAGGTGGCTGGTGCAGTCTGCAGAGGCCGAGCTGAGGCAGGGAGCGGCCCTGGAGGAAGTGGTCAACAAATAACTTTTATTTAGGCTTTCGTAGAATGGGAGGTTGGGTATGCCTGACTAAACAAGTTAACAGTTTTATGGAAGGTAACTTGGGCTGGGCAGCTCGGTGAACTGGGAGAGAGGGCAGGATGAGGCTGGGGCAGAGAAGATATATATACTATAAATATTCTGACAGATGGGAGTCCAATCTCTTCTTGAAAGTCTCAAGTGATGAAGCTGCCACAACTTCCGAGGGCAACTTCTGTTCCATGGGTTGATTGTTCTCACTGTCAGAAAGTTTCTCCTTATTTCCAGGTTGAATCTCTCCTTGTTCAGTTTCCATGCATTCTTCCCTGTCTGGACTTCAGGCGCTTTTGAAAACAGCTTGACCCCCTTCCTCCTCTCTGGGGCAGCCCCTCAAATATTGGAAGGCTGCTCTCCTGTCTCCCCTGGTCCTTCTCTTCCCTAGACTAGCCAAGCCCAGTTCCTGCAACCATTCATCGTAGGTTTTAGCCTCCAGTCCCCTCATCATCCTGGTTGCTCTTTGTACTTTTTCTAGAGCCTCAACATCTTTTTTATAATGTGAATAAAACTGCAGTACTCTAGGTGTGGTCTTACTAAGGCTTTATAGTGTGGTATTCGTACCTCACTTTCCGGCTGACCTTCCATCACTTTGCAAATTCATAACCAAATCCTTAAAAGGCAAAAAAAAATATTAAGCATGGGGTTTGGCTTTTGGGGGGAGAGGGGGAAACGGCAGCCGATGTAAGAACAACAAAATAAAAAGCCAAAACAGGCCACGGCCTACAATGAAAACAGGATTTAATCTTTTGTTTTTTAAAAATCAGCTTTTTCGGCATCTACATTCATAGGCACTTCAGCTGTTAGCCTGAGTGCTTAGGGAAACACCCCCACCACCACCACCACCATTACAAAGGGGGCGTCTCGCTTTGCAGCCCCCCAAAAGTATCAGCAGGTGAACCAGAAGGGAACAGGCAGGCAGGGCGTGACTCAAAGGCACGGGGATGCTGCCGTCTTGGCATCCGGGCTTGGTCTCTGCAAAGCCACCGTATTTGTCGCCCCTTCGCTTTGGATACAGGTTGCCCCCTACAATTTGGAATAGACCACCTCCTTGGGGCTCTTCTTCTCCATCAAAGCTTGGGCGGACTTGATGATGTCCTCCGTTTGAAGCATGCTCATGTTCCAGGCAGCCTGAAGGAGAGTCAGAATGCAGGCAGGAGTCAGAAAAACAGAATTTTTTTTCTCTCCCCTCACCCCGGAAAACAGCCCTCCTTCCTGACTCTGGAAAGCCCCAACCCCCTTGACCTTTCTGCCAGAGGGGGAAGTATCAGGATTCTGGCCCTTAGCCCCATTTCAATCCTGAGTCTCGATCCAAACTTCCAAAACTTCCAAAGGATTTATTGGGAATTACCATGTCAGCACTGCCTGGGTGTAGCAAACTCTGAGACACATCATTCATTGTCACCCTTAACCCTGGTTTTCCCCCTACCCCTCTGGGTGTATTATAATTCATATCCTCCAATGGGACACCTCCATAGCTCAGAGTCATCAATCAGGCTCTCCAGTTAGAAACTTTGGTCGCCTAGTTACTATCTTTGAAAACATTTATGGAATGCACTTTCGGTTTTTTGCAAGCTGTTCCACTGCTTCCCTCTGTTGGCAACTCTAAAAGACCAGAGAAATATTTCATGAGTTGACATGAAGACCTGCTCAGTCCCCCAAGAACTGAAGCCAGGAAGCAAACAGGAACCAAACATAAATACTGGTGAGATAGTTTTGCCGTACTTTGATGGTTGCACAATGACTATTGATCTTTTGGATTGGCTTATAGAGGCTTTATTGTGGTGGCTTTTTTTTCTCTCTAACAAACGGGCATTTTTGAATAGAACTAGCCACTTTGATTGCTGCCTGGTGTTTTGCAAATCTCAGGCTTTCAAGGCAGGTGCTGATCGTTGCTACCAGCCTGTCACACTTAGTGCTCCTTCTGGCTTTAGCAAAAAAGCACCAAGTTGCAAGCCCCATGAAGGAGACACAATGAAAGGCCAATGAATGGGTTCCAGCAACACGCTGCAAGTATTTAGAGTAGGTGTAGGCGTAGAATGGAATGGAGAATGGGATAGGATAATAATTAGAATAGAATGGAACAGAACAGGATAGAATGTAGAATATATATACAGTAGTATAAAATCTTGTGTTTTTATTAATATATTTAATAAATATAATAAAAAATAGAAGATTCTATACTATATATATATATTTCATATTCTATTTTTTATTATATTATATATTTATTATAAAAACAGAGGTGTGTGTGTGTATGTTCGAGCATAAATCTGGAATGCCTCAAGCAATTTTAACCAAACTTGGTACACAGATGACTTACTTTCTGGAAACAAATACTGTGAGGTTAAGACACCCCTAATACCCCTCGTGTGTGTGTGTGTGTGCGTGTGTGTGTGTGCGCGCGCACCTTAAAATGGCTTCTACTGTACAGCACAGTGGACTTGCCATGGTAACGGCTTCACAGTACTCCACAAGGGGGCTCCCTCTTGTGGAGGAATAGAAGAATTGCGACGCTGCGTGAGAGGCCGTACAACAGCGTGAGTCCTGACTACAGGGTTTTCCTGTCTAATACAGGATTGGGATAATTAAATACCTGGGCAAGGCCGGGTTATCAGCTAGTATATAGAACAGAATGGTACAGAACAACAGAGTTGGAAGGATCTAGAAGACCCTCGGGGTCCCTCCCAACTATTCTCTTCTCCACTCTGGCCCAAACACCTCCCTCCACAAACTGCACCTATTAAGAAGACCCACCACTCACCATGTATTTCAAGCTTTCAGGCACCGAATGGTCTCTGGAGTAAACAAGGTTAATTTTTGTCCCCTGAACTGCGAGCGGGCTCTTGCTGGCAATTTCGGTGGCCAAATCAAAGGCACTCTGCAGCATCGTCTCTCGATCTCGGAACACCCGGCTGGGAAAGGAAGGCAGAAGAATTTCTGAGATTTTGGGCAGCTTCCTCCAGCCCGAGCCTTGGATTTGAGGGAATGTTCTAATAAACTTTAAAGGCCCCAGGTAGGGAATGGTTGCATTAGGCGCCAGCCAATCCTCCTTTTTCTTTTTCAGTTCAAGGGAAGTTGGGAGAAAAACGTTACAACCTTGCTCGACAATCGACTGTAGCTCATTGTTTCTCAAATTTAGCAACTTTTAAGAGGGGTAGACTTCAACTCCCAGAATTTCCCAGCCACCAAAGCTGATGGAATTAATACACACCCCCTGGTTGCAGATGTTGAGAAGAAGATAGCCTTCACTCAACCTTGCCTGGTCTTGAAAGCTTAACCTGCTTAGTTCCTGGATGAAAAAAAAAAACCAGCCAGGAAATCATCTCCAGAAAAGATAGGAAACACCAGACAATCGTGGGAGAATGAAAAGCAAACAGTTCTGGGGATGCCTCCATGAAAACATATGGATTGAGCTCAATGGGAGGAGGTGAGGTGTCAGCTTTGGAAGCCATATTGAGACCAGATGCTCCCATGCGACCACATTTTGAGCCTAGGAAAGTGGGAGGGGGGAATTTATTAGAGTGTATGTAGTTAGACATAACAACATTCTTTTTCTAATTCAAGGTCATGTTATTTCTGCACCTGGTTGAGAGAACGTCTCAAGTTGGGACGGATGGTGATTGGAGCATGTGATGACACAAGGGGTGCAGGGGGTGGATTTGTAATTTTTACTTATTGCAAAGAAGCCCAGAACTTTCAGATTCAGGATTCCCCAGTTGTACCAGTTACAATCCAAAAAAAGGAACTTTTGAGAAAATGTCTGTCTCAGAGTTATTGGTTAGAGTGGACGTTCGCTGGAATGCTGACATGAGGATCTTTTGCAACTGGGCAAGGAAGACCCTGATAATATTTAGGGTTTCGTTTTTTAAAAGATGGAGGCTAACCCATTTCATTCTATCTGAGAAGATATTTTCTGGTTTCCTGCCTCAACGAGATGGGAAATCAGCGAGCTGGTTCTGACAAGGGGGCTGTGTGAGTAGAAACCTCAAGACTGAGAAACTTCCGCAGCCCCCAGCCTCGGCTTCAAGACTGACCCACCTGACAAGGCCGCAGCTCTCCGCTTCTGGAGCCATCAGCTTTCTGGCAGTGAAAGCCAACTCGTTCACTAGGCTGGAAAGAGAAACAGGGCATTAGAGAGAACTCAGTCACCCCTAATGGAAAAAGAACTGGGGGGAAAAACTGGAACTTGGTTTATATGTTGACAGCAGCAGGATTACTGTATGCACAAAAATGAAAGGACACTTCAATTCCTAGCATGGACGAACGATTACATAAGTTGATGGATGGCAAAATTGACCACTTTGATTAAAGAAAAGAACATAAGTACTCTTTGTTTCCACATGGAAACCACTTCTGAATTTCCTGCTCGAAGCGGAAAAGAACGAAACTTTGATTTTAGGTTTTACAGATTAGATTGATAGATCTTTATAGAAATGGCTGGTTCGTATTATGATGATGAAAAAGCAAAAAGTTGTAGTTTGATGTTCATTGCCTTATTTTACTCTGCAACAGACTCGGAAGTCCATGCTTGTGACTCTGTTGGGAAGGGCCGTCCGACAGTCATCAGCTGCCTTCGGAGTCGGAGATCAGTGGGCCAGAAGAACAGCTGGAGCCTGTTCCCAGTGTGCACATGCACAGAGGTGCCAGGAGAAGGGAACAATGAAGGAACAAGGATCGACTCGGGAGTAAAGGCACAGGTTGACAGTGAATGGCCCCTCCCACAGGGAATATAGAGGAGCAAAAGGGGAGTGGTGTTTGCAGGAGACAATTACTTCGTTTAATTAGTGTGAAGATTTGTTCGTGACTCTCAAGAGATTCAAGTATTTTCTTGTACAGCGTTGCGCTTGGAAGCCATTGGCCTGGCAGCTCTCCAAGCCTGATAAGATCTGTGGTTATAAATTCACCCTTGAAAGACTGTTTGACGGGATTTTGCTGGATGTGAGTGATAGGAATTCACATTAGCCTAATAAAAAAGGGTTTTGTCGGGACAAGAAGTCTGCTTTGTGATTTTGTGAAGCCTAGGTCGGAACAGCTCCTTTAGGCCAGAGAAAAATTCCAAGGGCCACTTTCCAAAGTAGGGGAAGCCGCGGTTCCTGTCGTGCAAGACCAGGAAGAACGCCGAGCCAACAGGAAGCGAAGCCCTCACCTCCGATTTCCAATGATGCGTGGCAAACGCTGCAATGTGCCAACGTCGGCTGCTAGCCCAACATCTACTTCCTGAAGAAAGGAGACAAAAGGAGAAGGTCGTTCATCCACTGAGATTTACTCCAAAGAGTGATATGGCCACTGATGTATCCTGACCCCACACCCCGGGCCTTACAGTACTTGGGTGGCACTTTCCAATGCCTATGGCCTGGAATAAACCTACGTGTTTTTGTGCACACTGTGATGACCCAGGGTGGGATACAAAATAAACACAGTCACAAAAACAGGTGAAGCCCCTTTTATTCCTTCACTTTGCTTCCAAGCTCCAAATATCCTTGACTAGAGACAAAAACCTCCCCCACAAGCAGTTACGAAACTAAAAATGCCTATAAATTATAAAGAGTAAAAACAACACAAACCGCACTGAAGCAATTAAGGGAACCAGGCAAGATAAGGGCTTGAAGACATCCACAAATATCGGAACACACACTGGGAAGGACGCCAAACTCAGAGAGGAACGAGAGACTAGAGATATTTCCATGCTTTGTTTCCAGCATTGGCCCATACGCATGTCCGTCCTTTTAACCAGTTGTCACAGCTGCAGCCCATGAAGAGGATCAAGGCCCTCTCCTCCCAGCCACGTGGGAGAGACCACGTCTCTTCCTTATCCTCTCCTTCCTGCGTGCCCTAGGATGGAGAGGGGATGAGCCTGGTTCTTCCTCTGACTGCCCAGCCGGCCTCTGCCCTTCCCCAGCCTCCTCCACAACCTCTGGAGCCACACTTCCACTCCCTGTTGGCTGTTCCTCCTCTCCCTCAGAGTCAGTCTCCAACAGGGGCATGACACACAAGTTTGTGTGTACAAGAAGCAAAAGAGCAACACAAAGTGACAGACCGAGCAAGGCAATACAGGCAGCTGATCGCTGGAACTACCATTTCTCCCAAACCGGTCCGAACCGGCAGAATCACACACCTGAATACAGGTTGTCCTCGACTTACAACAGTTCATTTCGTGACCGTTCAAAGTTACAGCAGCACTGAAAAAGGGGATTTATGACCGTTTTCCCCACTTACGACCTTGGCTGCCACCCCCACGGTCACGTGATCAAAATTCAGACACTGGGCAACTGGTTCGTACTTATGACCGTCGCTGTGTCTCTCCAAGGTCATGTGATTCCCTTTTGTGGCCTTCTGACGGGCAAAGTCAACGGAGGGGAATCCGGATTCTCTTTAACAACTGCGTCACTAACTTAACAATTGCAGTGATTCACTTCATGATGGTGGCAAGAAAGGTTGCAAAATGGGAAAAAATTCACGTTTTGCTTATAGCAACAGAAGCTTTGGGCTCAATTGTGTGTCAGCTTTGGAAGCTATATTGACACCAGACGCTTCCACATTCTTGAGCCTGGGAAAATGGGAGGGGGGAATATCTTGGAGTGTAAGTGATTAGACATAATAGCATTCTTCTTCTAAGTCAAGGTCATGTTATCTCTGCACCTGGGTGAGAGAACGTCTCAAGCTGGGACGGATGGCAATTGGCGCATGTGATGCCATGAGGGGTGCAGGGGGTGGATTTGTAGTTTTTCCTTATTGCAAGGAATCTCGGAACTTTTCGATTCGGGATTCCCCAGATATGCCAGGTTACTATCCAAATAAACAGAACTTTTGAGAAGATGTTTGTCTCCGAGTTATTGGTTGGCTTTCTGAAATGCTGATATTATCCCGAATCTGATGGTGCAACTGGTGCTGGCATCCAATGCCATGCGACCTACCCCTGACCAGGACAGAATCCCCACTGACATTGTGGTCGTAAATCAAGGACTGCCTGTATACCTGTGCCTTCTTAGCATCGCTGGTGCTTATTAATTAGGCATATCTTGAGTAAAACTGCATCACGGCAAACCCACCTTCACCTGGAACCAAGCGTCTTGCGTGCAGTAGCGAATATCGCAGGCCGAAATGAGATCCACACCTAAAAAGGAACAAGTGCCAGAGTCTATTTTCCACCTTCCTCCCCCATCTTCACCCGAACCGGTAGAATCCCACCACTGCTAACACCCCTCGGGGTGTGTGTTCTCTGAAGATTCAGTCTACAGCGCAATGGAGTTGATATGGTAACGGCTTCATGGTACTCCACAAGGGGGTGGTTATAAGGGGGCCTGGCTGCACCACTACGAGACTTACACAGCGTACGTCAAGCAGATCATACGAGACGGCATTTCTTGACGCTTCTGGGGGCATTTTTAACTAATGTAATTGTCGCTGAAATCAGAGCTCCGGGAGAAGTTGCTCTTGCCATCGCCTCTTCGGGAATTACGGAGACGTTAATGGAAGGAGGGAGGACAGCCCATAAATAAATACCCAGGCCAACGCCGGGTTATCGGCTAGTTAAATATCACTCCTTCCTTGCTGTGTTTCTCAACCTTGGCCACAAGACCTGCGGACTTCAAACTCCCAGAATTTGAATCTGCTGTCAGGATTCCAGCAATCGCCCTCATTAAATCATGAGCCTTGAGCCAAGCTTCAAAAAACTTCAAAAGAATTCATTAGGAGCGACATACTGGTGTGACCTGTATGAAGCCAATTCTGGCATACGTAATTACAGTCCCCTGTGACCCTGTTTCCCCCCTCCCCCTTGGGTGTGCCATAAATCAGTTTCTCCAATTAAGCACCTACACAGGCCAGGTGTCATCCATCACGTTCTCCAATTAAAGTTTTCCACTGGCAAAGCTTCAGTGCTTAGCTACCATCTTTTTAAAGATAAGTGCCAGCTTTGGAAGCCATATTGAGATCAGATGCTCCCAAACTGTCACATTTGAGCCTGGGAAAAGTGGGAGGGGGGAATTTATTGGAGTATATCTAGTTAGACATAATAACATTCTTTTTCTGATTCAAGGTCATGTTGTGTTGCACATAAGTGAGAGGAAGTCTTAACTTGGGACGGATGGTGATTGGGGCGTGTGATGCAATGATGGGTGCAGGGAGTGGATTTTGTAGTTTTTACTTATTGCAAGGAAGTCCAGAACTTTCAGATTCCCCAGGGATTCCCCAGTTGTGCCAGTTACTATCCAAATAAAAAAGGAACCATTGAGAAGATGTCATTCTAGGACAGAATGGAGGGTTGCTGGAATGCTGACAATAAGGTTGAAATGTGCTTCTAAATTTCTCAAGTCTTTTTTTTTTCCTCTTCTCTGTCTTATGACAAATTGGAAACATTCAAAATTGCCAAGGTTAAGAAACGCTTGAGTTATGTAGCCAGTTTGATCAAAAAAGAGCACCATCGTACTGTTTAGCTCCCGTCGTTCAAACAGGCAGAATTTGGAGTTTGGTTGTTTCTTCTGCCCACCCATGCAACCAGTTCCAGGAACCAAAGCCACTACAAGTTACTTATGGGGCTCACCTCCTCCGATGCAGGCCCCGTGAACGGCCACAACGATGGGTTTGGGACACTGAAAAGCAGAGACGCCATTAAGCGCGGACGGAAGCGGTTTTCCGGCACACCAGCCCAACCCTGGTCCCTCAACCCAGGCACCTTCTCCAGGACTGTGAAGGATTCTTGGTAGTCTCGGATCTTCTTGCGGATGTTCCAAGCTTTCCGGGCCACGTCGTCACCTTCTGCCATCAGGAAAACGCTGCCCATCTCCATGAGGTCGATACCTGTGGAAGGGCAGGGATGGAGAACAATAGGAGTGGCTCTAGCTCAGCCACTGGACACCTGCCCATCCACTCTAAGCCACGTTTACCTGGCGGCCCTCAGCTGACTATTGTTCTGACCCAGGATGAAACACCAATTTGTTTTAAAAGCAAAATCCATTTTAATGCAACGCTGGGAATTACTTTCATTTTCAGCCAGAACTAATCTTAAACAGTTCCCCAAGATAACCACATGCCTTTCAGTGCTGTGGGATGCGGCCAAAAACAGAAGTATCCAAATTAATTATAACAGAAACCAACCGAAGTACCAGACAAAAACCACAAAGTACACAGAGTTTCAAGGAGGATTCGGAATCTATCAAACGACTTTGCTTCCTGCAAAGAGTACGTCATTGAGGTCTGACTTTTATCCCTTATGGGAGGGGCAATCACCTCCCAGCCTTACTCCTGAGTCACCCCTTCTGCTTCAGCTGCTCTCGCCTTCGAGCAGCTCTGCGCACACGCACACTGGGAACAGGCTCCCCTGGGTCCTCTGCTTCGCTGCTGCCAAGCTCCGAAAGCAGCACCCCACTCCCAGATGGTCCTGGCCCCATCCCTACATCAGACACAGGACCCTCATCCGAGCCCTTTCCAGGCTCCCTGACTGGTCCCCTTTCTTCTTCTCTGTCCGACTCCGCTGCTGTCTGCACTGGCTACCGGCGAACCACAACAACTATAAGCCACCATGGGCTATGTGATTTGTTAAATGAATTCTTCAACTCCTGACAACAAGGCTTCAAAACGTGGGACCTGGAAATCATTGGGCCCTGGAGGTTTCTCCAAAGCTTTTTTGCATCCGATTTTGCTACTTATTGGGCTCACTCAGCAGCACGAGCAAAATTGAGACTGTATTTTGAAGGTATTAAAGTACTCACATTCTGTAAGGCATGGAGAAATAAGAGTACAAAGACAATAGTGTGGGACCAGGGATGCCGTTGTAGGTTCAAACAGTCACTAAGCGAACTGTTGTAAGTTGAGGACTACGTGAAGACTTGAAACACTTTGTGACCGAAGGCATTTTTCTGGGACACTGAAGGCCTAGGACAATGGGGCAGAGCAACTGTAGTCCTCATCCAAGAAGCCTCTTCAGCTCTGACTGGATGGTGGGGAAAGGAAGGATTTATACTCCTTGTAGACAGAAATCCTATCTAAGACCAGGGGTGGGATTCTACCAGTTTGCACCTATTCGCTATAACTGGTTGTTAACCTTCTAAGCAGTTCGGAGAACCGGTTGTTAGAAGAAATTACTGGCCTAATCCTGTAAGAAAGGCAGGAAGGAAACATTCTGGTGTTGCTTACAGAAACTGCCTCTCCGTTAACCCTTATTACATTCTTGGCAGGACTAAACTTCCTGTCTCAGGAGCTTCTCTGGAGTTTTTCTCCCCTCCTTTGCTGGTACTTTGCTTGTGTGGAGGGACCATTCAAAGTTACAATGGCACTGAAAAAAGTGACTTACCACCATTTTTCACACGACTGTTGCAGCATCCCCAGTCATGAGGCCAGGTGAGGAGATGCGGGCCTCGATGTGAGTGATGTTGAGTTGGCCACTCCCAGTCAATAACATGACCATGAAGCCATGTCCACCCAGTCACATGACCACCAAGCCATGCCAACTAAGCCACGCCCACAGAACCGGATCTTTAAAAATTTGAATCCCACCCCTGCCTAAGAGAAAGATCCCCCAAAAGGTGTACCCCAGGTAGCTCTCCTTGTGTTCTGACCAAGGCTTATTGAGACACTAACAAACACACGTTAGTCCCAAAACCCTTTTTCCTTTATTTCAATGGCTGTGAATTTTAGTCGTTCACAGCCCGTAATGAGTCTCACAGAGTTTGTAAACAGTACCACGGAAGTCTGCCAAAGTCCTTCAGGATAGGTCTGATAAGCACACACCTTTATCTTCCTTGAAATGCTGCCAATGGCTAAATTGCCAATTAGTTATACAAGGCCAAACAGAGCACAAATTCAACACAGAGCTTCAGGTTTCAAACCGACCAGTATGAACAAAGTTGCTTCCTGCAAAGGTTCCTGTCCCTTGGCTCCTCCTTTATGTCTTATGGGAGGGGCAATCACCTCCAAGCCTTAATCCCGAGTTGCCCCTTTTGTCTTAACTGTTCTTGCCTTCTGGCAACTCTGCACAAGCACACATTGGGAACAGGCTCCTGCTGTTCCTCTGCCTCGCTGCTGACAGATTCTGGAGGCTCCGGAGTCAGCACATAACACCCAGGTGGTCCTGGCCCCATCTCTGCATCGGATGCAGAACCCTCGTCCGAGTCCTCCCCAGACTGTCCGACTGTCCGACTCTGCTGCTGTCTCCGCAGGCTGCCGGCAGATCACAACACCTTGCTAGATTTTCCTGATCTAAGGAGGCGGATTCTCAGCCACAATGCCTGCATCCTCCTTACCTGAAGTGAACATTTTTCCAGCGCCCGATATCACCACTGCATGGCACTCAGGGTCTTGGCCAATCTTGTTGAAGCATTCAACCATCTCTCTGTGACAAGAGAAGACCACGTTAGACTGAGAAGGTTGGAAACTTGATCTGCTACCCCCCCCCAAAAAAAAATTCTGGCGGGTCCTCGACTTACGGCCGCGAACAAGCCCAATGTTTCTGTTGCTGAGCGAGAAATCCGTTTGGTGAGTTTTGCCCCACCCTACGACTTTGATTCGGCGATATTGCCTCATTTGTAAAATCAGTAACCCCCCCCGTCATTCAGCGAATCTGGCTTTCCTGTTGACTTTGAAGGTGGCAAAAAAGGGGAGGAATCACGTGACCCCCGGGTCACTGCGACCATCATAAGTGTGAGTCGGTGGTCAAGCATCCAAATACTTGAATACTTGAAACATTTAGTGACCGAAGGCATTTTTCTGGGAGACTGAGGCCCCAGGACCAATGGGGCAGAGCAACCATGCCTTAGGCTGCCCCGATTAATCCGCACTAATTAAAAGGAGTACAGGTAGTCCTCAACTTACAACAGTTCATTTACTGACCGTTCACAGTTACAACAGCACTGAAAAAAAGGGACGTATGACAATTTGGTCATAAAACAGCTTGCCCTCATCCCGGGAGGCTTCCAAGAAGAGATTGGACTGCCATTTGTCAGAAATGGTGTAGGTCTCCTGCTTGGGCGGCGGCCAGAGGTGGGTGGGTGCAGAGCCGATATTTAGCCGGTTTGGGCCAGTTCTAGAGAACTGGTAGCGGAAATTTTGAGTAGTTTGGAGAACCACCTCTGACTGGCCCCACCAACCCGATCTCTTCTCTGCCTCCCAAGTGCCAACTGATCGGCTGGGTCTTTGGTTGCCATGCACAGGAGAACAGACACGGAAAGCAGGTTAGTGGGGTGGGGAGGGAATGGGGATTTAGCCATATATCCTTCCCCTGACACGCCCACCAAGCCACGCCTACCAACCCACATCACACCCACCAAGCCACCCCCAAAGAACCAGTAGTAAATTTTGAATCCCACCATGGGGGGGGGGAGGGGTTGGACTAGATGACCTACAGGGTCTCTTCCAACTCTTGTTAACCTGAGACAGAAAATAAGATTTTTCACACTTATGACCGCTGCAGCACCGACATGGTCACCTACATTTACATTGGGATGCTTGACCGCCGATTCATTTTTACGACAGTTGCAGCCGCCCAGAGTTACTGATCCCCTGTTTTGTGACCTTCTGACGGGCCAAGTCAATGGGGAAGACCGATTCACTTAACGACCGTGTCACTAACTGAAGAACCGCAGGGATTCGCTGAACCGCTGCAGCAAGCCAACGTCGTCAAAAGAGGGGCCAAGCTTCACTTCACGCGCTTCTCACTTATAGCAACATAAAATTCTGGGCTCAACTGCGATCATAAGTCGAGGACTACCTGCATCTCGTTTTCGGCTTGGGTACTCGGAGCACGATAAGGACTGCGGGTTCAAAGCCAGGCCAGATCGTCGCTGAGGTTTCTCCTGCCTGGCCTCCCCCGGTCCTGCAAACTTCCGTCAGCGGCGCCTAGAAATCCGATTTCCCGTTTACCTCCAAAAGGCGATGTTCATGGCATTCCTTTTCTCGGGGCGGTTCAGCTCCACGTGCAGCACCTTCTCGCGGACCCGTTCCAACTTCAAGGTCTCGTAGGTGGGCACGGAATTGGGCTGCTGCTGGGGTGGCGCCTGTTGTTGCTGCTGGGCTTTGGAGGCCATGATGCTGAAGCCGTGACAGGAAGCAGGACGAACGGCGAGATCTGGGAGTTGGAGGGGGTGGGGGGGTGGGGGCAGAGGGAATGGATAGTGAGAAACAGGGGGCCAAGCTACTGGTTTCAACAGACTTCTTCTGCCCCAGGCTTCCTCAAGCGTAATTAAGCACAAACTTGTTTTAAAAGCAAAACGGATTTTAATGCAACGCTGGGAATTATTTTCATTCACAGCCAAAACTAACTTAAACAGTTCTCCAAGAGAAGCACATGCCGGTCAGTGCTGTGGAATGCTGCCAAAAACAGAAGTCTCCAAAGTAGTTACAACAGTATCAGAAAAAAACAAAGTACACAGAGCTTCAAGGAGGACTGGGAATCTATTGAACTACTTTGCTTCCTGCAAAGAGTACGTCATTGAGGTCTGACTTTTATCCCTTATGGGAGGGGCCAATCACCTCTCAGCCTTACTCCTAAGTCGCCCCTTCTGCTTCAGCTGCTCTCGCCTTCGAGCAGCTCTGCGCACACGCACACTGGGAGCAGGCTCCCCTTGTTCCTCTGCCTCGCTGCTGCCAGACTCTGAAGTGCTCCAAAGGCCGCACTCCACTCCCAGATGGTCCTGGCCCCATCTCTGCATCAGATGCAGGACCCTCGTCCAACCCAGATTCCCTGACTGGTTCGTCCTCACTGTCCGATACCTCCATCTGCACTGGCTGCCGGCGCACCACAAGAAGACTGCTGTAAAACACGAGATGGAGTTTCCCTAATATTGCGGGCAGTTTCAGCTCAACTGTCATGGGATTTATAACCCACATGATATATAGTCAGTGTTGTACCTGATGATTCTTGACTCTTGACTAACGTATCTTTTCTTTTATGTACACGGAGAGCAGTGGCACCAAAGACAAATTCCTTGTGCATCCAATCATACCTGGCCAATAAAGATTTCTATTAATATACGTGTCATGCCCCTGTCAGAGTCTGAATCCAAGGAGGAAGACGAACAGCTGACGGAGTGGGAGTGTGGCTCCGTTGGCTGGGGAGGAAACTGGGGAAGGGCAAAGTCTGGCAGGGCAGAGGAGAGGAGAGGTAGAGCAAGGGAGACGGAATTCAGATGAAGACCCAAGCCCACCTCCCCTTCATCCTAGGGCATGCAGGGAGGAATGGAGAATGGAGCAACGGGGGTTGCATGGCTTACGGGGGGGAAGAAAGGGCCCTGATTCCCTTCATTAGCCACACCTGGGAATGAGAGTTTAAAAGAAATGCATGCTGAGTGCGGCAGCTTCTGGGAGCAAATGTGACTTTATCCTGTGTTGTCCTTGCTTATCTGTGCTTCTGGTGTCTTTGGGAGGCTCCTGACTTCTTTTCTATCGCTGGATTATTCAACACCTGGGAATCATTAACAGTTAAGCAACCTCCTCCTGTGTTTCTCAACCTTGGCAAGGTTTTAAGATTGCCCAAGCTGAGAAAGACTGATTTAGAGGTATGGCATCTTATAGCTGCCAAAGACGAGAAACCGGGTTCTCTCACTGTAGAACCAACAAATTAACTCCCTGGTGAGTCCAGTGGCACTGAAACCCTGAAGTGTTGCAGTTGTCAGAGCTAAGCAGCGCCCCAGAAGAAAGAGTTGGCTGAACAGCTGGCTCAGTTCAAATTGGATCTGACCAAGGAGGCGGCTCAGCAGAAGCACCTCATTGAGGACTAGGGGCATAGGCTTTCCAAGCAGAGGGAAGACCTGCGGGAGTGCTAGGCCAGGTCCCGGCACCTGGAGGCTCAGCAGGCTGAGATGGGTCAGCCAGTTCCGGACCATGATGCAGTCCCACTGGAACAAGGCCCTCTGGCTCTTCGCCACCAGTGGCCCTTCCCTCCAGCCTTCGCCCAAAGCCCCAGACCAGGAGGCTGAAGCAGACCCCAAGTTGGAATTTCTGCCCCCCTCCGACCTGCACAAAAAGACAGCTGCAGCCCATGAAGGGGATCAAGGCCCTTTCCTCCCCCATAGACCACGCTGTTTGTGTTTCTCTCTTATCCTCTCCTCCCTGTGTGCCCTAGGATGGAGAGGGGATGAGCCTGGGTCCTCCTCTGACTATCCAGCCAGCCTCTGCCCTTCCCCAGCTTCCTCCACAACCTCCGCAGCCACATTTCCACTCCCTGTCGGCTGTTCCTCCTCTGACTCAGTCTCCAACAGGGGCATGACAGCATATATCCAGCCCAGGGGCCGTAGTTTGAGGACCCCCTGATTTAGTGCAACATAACAAATATTTTTTCTGCGGATCACTAGTTGGTGATCGCTGCTGTAGCAAGCTAGAAACCCAAGAACTCTTCAGCCTAACTCTAAAATTCTTGCACAAGAGATCGGTTTGCAACCCCGCTGAAAAGGAGGGGGATTTTCTTTGCAGAATATGAAGAGTTTCGGGCAAAGGAGGAGACCCCAGGGGAGGGAGGCCCCTGGCCGCTCTTAAAAGCCTACCCACCCACTCAGAGTCCCCGCCTCCCTCCCTTCGTAGGCGCCCGAGGTCCAAAGGTGCAATTTTTTTCCTGGGAAAACAACCTGCCCGTCCTGTCCCGGTTTTGCAATTCCACCACAGGCAAAAGAGATTAAGCAGAGCAGCCTGATTGCTCAAACGGGGAGGGATGCAGGTTGCAAGCACTGTAGGCCGAAATAAATAAATGATGATGATGATG